TACAGATTTTTGGTGGGGAATCCTGGAAAACGACCACTGGACTTATCAAGAAGGAGATGGGAGGATAATATCAAAATGGATCTTGGGGAGGTGGGCTGTGAGGATGGTAAATGGATGGAGTTAGCTCAGGATTGAGTCCAGTGGTGGGCTTTGATGTTGTCGGTGTTTGACCTGTGGGTTCTGCTACCAGGGAGTTAGTTTATATTAAAAATATTACCATCTTCATTGCACAGGATGCTATAAATCAGCAAGACATATTTTACCTTTAACTTTTAAGATTTTTATTCTGAGTAGTCTTAATTTGTGAAGAGCCGGGTTAGCTCAGTCAATATAGTGATTGACTATGGACTGAAAGGTCAGGGTTCAATCCCCAATAGAGGCAGAGGTTTCTTCCTCTAGCCTCTGTGTTCAGACTGGCACTGGGGCCTACCCAGCCTCCTATCTAATGGGTACCGGGGTAAAGCGTGGCCAGGGTGTGACACTGGCCACTCACCCTCATCTAGTGCCAAGGTTAAGAGTGAGAAGGAGCCATACTCCTCTCCCTCCAAAACACCTGCATGGCTTATAGTGGGGTAGCTTTACTTTACTTATTTTCTGACATTCACAGTTTATGTATAAATATACGATTGATATGCTGTCTTATTCGCATTATCTGCTTGTGCCATCTTAACTTGGCCATAAATTACCAGAATAACTATATATGTCATATTGGAACATACATGTGCCAGCAACCCATAGTTCAGTTCACACAACAGCGTTGGCATTTGTATAACTACAGGCGGCAAGTAGTGTTGAAACATTGATTGACGGGCTTCTGTGTTTGGTAAATCTACTAGAATTCTCTTCTCAAAGCGTCGTAAGATTGCTGCATCCAGTTCCCTACAAAAAGCAGAAAGGACTTGTTACAGTACAGATTGTATAGTAATGTATCAGCGAAAAGAAGAAAATGTTAAGATTGTTTGCCAGTTAGTAGCCTGTGTAGACATCAAGTATATTAAATGTGCTCTGGCATTCTAAGCATTGATTTCTTTTTCAATTTATAAGCCACACCCCATTTTACAGGTTTTAGTTTATGTGTTTGGGCTAAATTGCATTGAGGTGTTAAAAATTACGAATTTGGTTATGCTTGCACTTTATGATGTACGTTTGTAATGTTTATATTGATGGCAATATAAAATTTGCATAACAATTTAAAGAGTAATCATAATGGTTGACAGGTAATCAGATCAGAAGATTATTTCAGAAAGGTTGAACTATGCAAAATTACAAGTACAAAACCAAAGGGCTTGGGCATTTCTAGCCATCACTAAGAGTCAAAATAGTGTTAAATATAATAAATTCTGGACCATGTCAACAGTTAAATACCTGAATATGGATAGATCTCTACAGTTTTAACTATTATATCGTGAAATAAAGTGACTTAATGTATAGAAGGGTACATGAATCACCATACACCATACTTGCCATGGCAGGTTGGATGTAGCTAGTAGGAAAACTCTGTCTGAACTATGTGCTAACCCATCAAGTTGAATCAGGAGTTCAGCCTTGAGGCGTCTGGACCCCTCATGTTCACCTGAGGCATCTCGGTGAGATGCAAGAGCATCCAGTTCATCCAAAAATATTGTGGATGGAGCATGATATCTGGCCAGTTCAAACATCACCTGGATCATATTAAAAGAGTTTTATGTGCAGTTTTGGGAAATGTGTGAATACATGACTGTTTATGAATGCAGTGTTTATAATTTAGCCCAGTGGCCCCCTGATTTTTTCTTTCTGCATTTCAGCACACAATATTCTTAGTAAGTGTTGAATGGTTCTGCCTACACATCCCTTATTTTTTCTTTATATAGAAGCATAAGTAAAAGATAATTTATATTGCTGTCATACAATTACAAGCGTAGTTCTTTTTCCCTGTAATGGAATGGAGTTCATAGAGACATTTTTAATAATTTTGTTGTGTCAGAAAATAAAATTGGTACACAATTTATTGGACATGATGAGCTTATGAGTTTTACAGTATGAAATGTTGACTGTACTTGGAGTTCAGAATATATATGAATGAAGCATACATCCAATCTGTCTAGGTTAAATTCATGTTGTACATTTTTAATTTATATTCCCTTAAAACAAGGAATGATGTATCCATGTTACTTTATGTTTCCTGCCTGAGATATATATGGAATACAGAATACTAAGGAGGGATTGAAATTGAGTATACAAAATCAGTTTGTGCTAAAGATTAATATTAGGCAAGAACTTGAATAACATGAAGTAAATGATGTAGATGTTCATGTACCATGTACACAAAGTGCATAAAATATATGAACATCTTTAGCCAGTAGTGATTTACTTGTAATAGTTAATGTCATTCTATTCTTACTCTCACTAGTTTCTCTGAATCCCCTCTCCACTTGCTTATGATAGAACTTGCTGATATGTTGAAAAATGTTGTCTTGCATTCAGTGGCAACAGCTTTAGCCAACAGTGTTTTACCTGAAATAATTCAAATAAATTCTGAAAACTATAGCAAGGCAACATATTGTACAGCAGTTTCCTTTTGTGAACAATTGATAAACAGTATTATTCATCAAAGTGAATCCAGTGTGCACCTGATAACACATCTTATGCACAACATTCACCACATACACACAGTAGAGGCTGATGCTTTAAATGCTGTTCATCATAATAATATTGTACTATATTGGCAACACATGGGGCATTAAACTGTAATTGTAAGCTATAATATTTTATTGAGAATATTGAGAGACTGCTTTATACAAATTTACGAGCTTCCAAGTTCTTTAGTTTCTTTGTATTCAATAGTAAACATTCAGAGGAACTTAACCCAACATTTTTCAGTTAATATCTTTCTTATATTTTCAAAACGTAATTCTAACCTTTTACTAGAAGCTGTAGCCTGTGATCTCCACTATTACAGATGTAGAGGAATTCTGAACTATTTACAGTAGTGTCACTTTGCGGAATGTATGAACATTTTTTTATTACACCTCATATATTTCTTTCATAATTTTCAGTATGGTGGGAAAAAAGTAGATAAAGGAATATACCTACCAGTGCCAGGTGGTCCATACAGAAGGAGACCTTTCCATGGTGCTAGGACACCAGAGAATAACTCAGGATATTTAGTTGGGTAGACCACAGCTTCTTTGAGTAGGCGTTTAGCTTCTTCCAGTCCCATGATATCCTTCCAGTGCACATTGAGATCTGTTGCACATATTTCCTGTAGATAATATGGCCGTTACTCTCTGATAAGAGATGATTACTGAAACTGTAATCACTGGAGACACCAAATATGATAATTGTGCAACATTTACCTTTGAAATTACTTCAGCAAATTCTTTCCATTCAGTGCTATATGTAACACATCCTGACAGGGGCTTCAGTAGTTTTTCAGAACTTTTACTCTGTACATTATTTTGTGCGCTATTAACCTGTATATTTGTGAATCCTTCAGGTGTTAAAGGCAATACCATTAGATTCAAGTCTGATAAAGAATTGTTACTCTTGAAAGTTTTCTGTACACTAATACTTGAAGCTTTCCCAGAAGACTTTGGAACATGTAATTTATTTTCTCTCTGGTTTTCATTTTGAAGATTGGTTGTACGGGGTTTTGTAGTATCTTGAATTTCATTCTCTAGATTGGGCATCTTCTTTAGTATATTCCTTCTGTTTTCTTCAACAGTTACTTTCTTACATATTTTGGGATACTTTTGGAAACGTACATAATAATAAGTTTCAAAATCCTGAACTATGGTCCCCAAATCAATATTATCACACACCTGGTACTGGTTTGTAAGGTGTGCTTCATTGCTAAAGCTCTGGGCAGTGTCAAGGTACCTGGACAGAGACATATTCAATGAAGACCAAGTGCATTAAATAAGTAGGTGTAGAAATGACCTTCGGTTGGCAGAAGAATATGTAAACAAATAGCTAAGTGTGTCCCAACTTTTTAACTAACTGATAATAAACATTGACATTTCAAGATTTACTAATATCAGCATCTGCCATGAAACAAGATCTTGAGCCAGTTCAAACTACCTCTTATCTCTTTAATCTGTTTTCCTAATATCTGTCACTATATTATCTTCCCACATCCTTTGTGACCATTTTCTGAGAATGTTGATTTTAGTCTACTGCGATCTCTGGTGATTCAGTAAAAGTAATTTCAAAATACAAAGCTGTATATATCACCTAATTAGAAATGTAAATTGTATAAAATGTCATTAAATTCTATAATTTAGTTACCCTTCATCCTTGAGGTATTGCAGAACAAGATATAGCAGCTGTCTTTTCTTTTCTAAAGCTTTCTTTTCCTCCTGAAAATATACAACGTACTGTATTTAAAAGAGTTAATTGGTTAATGGGGTTAAAGGTAATTCATCTGTAATAGTTATTCATGACTGTCAGCACTTTAAACAAAACAATCGAAAACTTATAACCAAAATGAGATATGAGCCAAGTGACATTGGCACCACACCGTGACAAAGTTGCCAGAGTCTTATTTATGAGAATGTTTTATATCATAGAAGTAAGGTTCATACTAAGGTAGGAGACTCATTCTGTGGAATATTCAGGCCTTTATTTCCAATAAAGAACCTAAGATATTAACATGTATTCTAGTAAAATAGAAAACTACTGGGAGAAATGGGGAATATTTAATGTAATTTGATGATTAAAATTGAGAACTGTAGGCCTATTCATACATTGCCTATACACATCTTATTTCCTTGAAAGTTGTTTATCAAAAAGTGCTTTGCCACCCATAAAAAAGTTTTGTGAATGATCCATGCATTTTTCTTGGTATGTTTTTATGTTTATTGAAAGTGGTTGGAAACAGGTGTTGAGGAGAATATCTGTACCTGGGAGGGATGAAGTGAAAACAAGACTTGAGAAAACTGCATAGCTAACACTAAGGGAGATATATGTGTACAATAATTTGGTTGGAAATCTTGGACAGAAGTGACCTCTTAGGCACAGATGTGAAGATATTCAAATGAAGTTTAGGGAAATATGGATGTGGATTGGATTAATCTAACTAAGGGTAGGGACCAGTGGTAGGCTCCTCTGAACATAGTAACAAGCCTTCAGATACTAGACAGATAATTGCTGGCAAAGTGACTGTTGGCTTCTCTAGTAGGATTCTGCTCCATGGTCATGTTTTCTTTTCCCGGATTCTTTGGATATTGTGTGCTAAATAGATGGGAAGTATGTGTCTGAAAAATTTATACTTACACTTTCCCGTACTTGATGAGCAATTTTTAAACTAGAATAACTAATTTCAAACGCCATTGATAATTTCCACTAGCAATATTTGTCTTGTTTAATCAGTGTTACTATGGAAACAAATAATTCAATATTTAAAGAGTGTATATTCTCAGGGAAAACAACAGACGTCTTTGTTAATTAAAGTGTAAATTGAAAATCTAAAATGGAACGTAGCTTGTGAGGTAATAGTTCTGTTAAAGTTTTTTCCTTGTAAGAACGATTTGTTTAAATATACCTAGCTACGCTACCACCAAATCTGAACGTTTCTGTCGCAGTGAATTCATTTTTTTTTTAAACCCTATAGAGATTTATTGGAATTTATCGTTAATAACATCGCCTTCTTACAATATCTAAAATCTATCTTGGACAATCAAGTGGCGCCACGAGTGCGTTGGAACTCTGTTTTTGGAACTTAATCGCTCATCTCACCGATTACTTTTTGCAGTTGGTGGTACATGTGATTGGATCTGTGCCATGTTATACGCACAAAGCAATTTGTTGTGGTGGCATTGGCCACATGGAGCTAATCTGTGTTAGAATGCTAAATGTCATCGAGGGTAAATGTCAGTGTAAGGATACGTCTGTAATTTGGCTGCAAATATGACCAGTTTAACATTTTTCTTGGTTAATATTTCAGTTTTATTTAGCTTTTTAGGTGAGTACAGTTATGAATATCAAATTTTTATTAGCAGACATCGCTAAGATGTAAATACTGAGCAGTAAAAATGCGACGTTTGGTGCACAAAGTGGTTAGGGCATATGACCAAGATGTTAAGGAGGATTTACATGAGGAATGGATCGCATATGCCGTCTAATATAACCATGTTTTAATGATGCTTCATTGGAATAAACCCGGTATGTTTCGGCCTCTGGCGGTCGTCGACAGTGGTATGTGTACATCGCATTTTTGCAGTATATTTTAATGCTGTTAGGGTTATGCAGCAAACATAGAGTGATGTAACATGTGATACAGTAAAATACACATATGTAATGAATTGTATCACGATATTTAGAAGTTTATTACTGCCTTCTTAATAAAATTATAATTTTGTGAGTTGTAAAATGTTATGAACATCCATATACTGAGATCTGTATCAATTGAGTACATTCTTCAAGACGTTTTGAGTGACCCAGGACCTCTAAATATTGTTTTTTATGATACCAGTACATGAGTATGTGAGTTGTGACACATCATTTATGTTGCAGAATTGCTGATCACTGTGTGATAGTAAATAATGGACAGTATCTGGGGATATATGTAATTGTCAGACCTTGTACATTTTTACAAGAATACATGCTACTTAGGTGTGAAAGTAATACTTTCAGCATGCAGTATCACAAACTAATAATATATTCTGCATGGTTATAAGAAAGGATCCATGGAATGTAAATAAATTCTATTCTATGTTGAGTTCTGTATTAGGAATAGTACTGAATAATTCTATAGTATTGTGTTTGTTGTCATAATGTGTTGTATTATGCATGTTTAACTTCTGTACTAGGCCAATTAATTAGTGCAGCCCACTTATATGCCAATTTTAATTAGTTTCAGAATATTATCACTTCAAGGTCCATTATGTTGTAAACATTACTGTAAATTACTGTAAGTTGCTTTGATAGTTATTGTGCTGAGTGTCGTAACTTTGTTATATGTACTTGTACATTGTGCTAAGTGTCGTAACTTTGTTTTATGTACCCATACTGCTTTTCTGGTTTCTTATTAAGAGATAACTATCAAGAACAGTCCATTTTTAAAACTTTAACAAATCTAAAAATACCTTTTGTTTTTATTTGAAATACTCCATTTGGATAGGGAAATAAAAGGAAGAGATGCACAGACTGCAAGTGTGTTGCACACTTTCCAAGCTGTTCTCATATTAGTATTAATTTCACATGTCAATATGAATCATATCTTTATGTCTGAACGTGGCAGAATATTGCCACTTTAACTGGTAAGTTTGTTATGGTTTGTACATTAGTCAGTAGAAGTAGGGTGGTGAGTTTGGTTCAGACAATTGAATGTGTTACAATAACTTATTTTGAGATATATTCTGAAATATTTGGAAGAACAAGTTAATTTACTTGTCTGCTATAAACTAGCATTACATGTGTGCACATGAACAGTTATAAAGGGGAGAATGAGTTAGAGGCTTGGAAAACATGGGAAATTTCTTAGTGTCTTCTTAATTATGCTGAAAATTTTTTTATATCGTGTATACTTCCACATCTTCTGTTCCCATCAGTATTTGAGATAATTGAGTCAGTGGTATTTGAGTGCATTTTAAACACAAACAACATAGGCTTGGGCCTAAGAAGGATTTATGGACTGTAAATAAATTCTATTCTGTACAAGTGATTCATTAATTTTTATGAACAGTACCTCCGCAGAGAAATCTGTTCTGTTGTATGTAACCAGAAATTAAGCCTATATAGTACATTTTTGCCATTCAGTATTTTGGTAGATTATCAGGAAAGTGGGCTGTGTTTTAGAAGCTTGTAGTAGTATGTTGTGGTGGTTGTGATATGTTGGCAGATGCTGTTGATGAAGACTGTATCGACTTTCAAGGCAATACTATAAACCATGGCCTTCTGTACGTCCCAGGTCCCAGCGCTTGTTCATTGTGTGTCTGTTACCATAGTGAGCCTATGTGGTGCAAGGCCATCTACTGTGATCCACCCTATGTGAGCTACACAAATCACAGTCATTCTCATGTTTCTTCTACCTCTCCGATACACACTATACCCAATTTTTCACTGACATTGGCTTCTTAATTCATTCTTTCATGTGTGGCATGCAGTATTTTATATTTGGTCTCTTTCTACTTAAGTGAAGGCTGAATTCTGTGTTATGATTTCCAGAGCAATAATTTTGAAATGATGTGGAAATAATGGTGTTCTTAGTAGTTGGTAGTGACACTTTTACATAATCACATTGAATGCAGTTGGTCTCGTAGGAGATTTATGTTACTGAACTAGAATCTGGGGACAATCAGTAGTTACCATAGTTTCAAATAGTATGTTTCAATATAGCTTATTTATTTATAGTTCTGATTACTTACTGGGTTTAGGATTATCTGAGAAAAGGGTATACTGTATGTAACTCAGTTAGGCATACTGATTGTTATAAGGATTTAAAGCTTCTGTTATGTATTCTCATAAATATATACCACTTGAATTAAAATAAATTGTATTAAAGAAGCAAGAAATCATACCTTTCATTGGATTTAAAGGAATTTAGTAGTTTAGATGTTCTATGGTTCAGAACTGTTGTGAGGGTGGTGTAATAGTTTTAGGTGAACTCGCATTGGAATTCTGAATGGAGTGCTCATTTTCCATAATGAATTAATTAATGATTTTTAGTATAAATTATTTGTTGTAGCATTAGTTGAGAAACACTATTAGCAGTTTAATGTGAACTAAACATCTTATAGGACAGAAGATAATAGATTCTTAAGGTATCTGCATTCTTGAAATATTTGTGCTACTGGTTTTATATCTACCAGTGATATTGTTCTGCTTTTATGTAACCAGTTGAAGTGCTGGGCCAACAGTTGGCATTACACTGTAATTGTACTGAACACTGTTCATTGTCAAGATAAATTTATTATATGCAACATTTCAGGAATTGACTCTACTGCACTTCACAGTTCTGTTAGTAGCGCTAATAGGCATGAAACCTTGAATATGTTAAATACCTCCTTTGCATGCTAATCACTGCAGGCTGCTATAAAAAGATGAGAGTGGAGCCAATTTCTGAAACATAATGGCCAATATCCATTAATTACATAATAACTGGGGTGTAATGAATCAGTCAGCCATTGTCAGATACACTAGAGATTCAACAATTATCATACAGCTGCTTGTTCAGTTAGATAATGTGAAGCAGAATGTTGAGAATTATGGGCTCCCTGTCCTAGCAGAAAGAAATAATGAAAGATTAGTTGCCTGAGGGTCTATGTAGAATGGGACCTTTTAATGAGAGGTGCCAGAATTTTTAGTGTCTGTGAATTTTTCATTACAAATTAAATTATTCAATTGTTTATAAAAATATAAAATTGAATATGGCTGTCTTCTGGGTTGTATCATTGTGTTGTGTGGTAGAAGTTTACCAGTGTTTCAGAAGTACATGCTATCTCCGTTATCTGGGCTATGAGATGATGATGGATATTCATTGCTGTGAGAACCTCAAATCCTACAAATATAAAATCATTATAATTTATGATTCTTATTAACTGAGAAATACAAAGTGGTGGTTCTGGAACACCTATTTTCTTTTTCTTAAATATAGAATTTGTGGTATGGTTTCAGGTTATGTGCGCAGGTCTTTCACTCATTTGTTCAGGCATATTTTGATGACACTGAAACAATTCAGATCTTAATTTACTGAACTGCTTTTTAATAGGTAGATATTACTAAAAGTGAGGCAAAGACTATTTGTCACTTCCCACAGCTTCCTCCCAGCCTTGACATCAAAAGGAGAGCTTATGTAACGTTGGCTTTTACGTTGTCTGACCAATTGTTAGATGAGACGAAGTCTGTTAATTTGTTGCAACTGCGCTCATCTCTGCCTTAGTACAATTTGACTCAATTTGTGAAGCAACCTACTCAGATTATGAAGTTTCAGCAGTACACAGTGCTCTATTGCTTTGAACTATTCATTACTTTTAATTAATGGAGGGACAGTTATGGCTTTCAAGAAACACTGGCAATATCATTTTCATTTCACATACAAATTGAAGTCGGAAATTGATCCAGATGTTTTTGGATGGTTGATTGACAGTTACAACTGTTATGAAGTCGGAAATTGATCCAGATGTTTTTTGGATGGTTGATGGACAGTTACAACTGTTACATAGTTTCAAATGAAAAAAATTTATGATGACTGTGAATGTAGAGTTATGAGGGATTTAAGGATAAGAGTTCATGGTTGTTTTACAGAGTTATCCCAGCACTTTCTTGGAGGTACTGAGGAAACCCACACAGAAACTTCTTTAGGGTAGTTGGATCCCTGACTGAGAAATGAATTTCCTGAATGGAAGTCATATTTGTTAACAATATACCAACTAAATGTGTGTTGAAATCTGGTGTAAATGGAATGGAGAAGAATTAAAACTACAGTATGCTGTATTTGGTGTAAAATTTATGTATCAATTAAGAATTCTCACAATTTAACTTCAAGCTGTGAATATTTCTGTGGTAGCAGAATTAGATAAAAATTAAATTTCAGTTTCTGTTTTGGACTGTAAGGATGCCACCATTGTAATAAGCAGGAAGCCTGGGACCCTCCCTACACTTTTTCAACACCAGTTTTTTTGTGTTGTGTCAGTTGCGAGAATAGAAATTTCAGTCTTGCCCATGAATAACTGTTTATTATTTGTTTCATTTTGTACTTTGCTTTTATATTTTAAATAGTGTGTAACAGTGTCCTGGGTGGATGAAAAAATTCTGGAATTTTTAACATGAATTTTTAACTGTGTGGCACATAGCAATGAAAGAAACTGCATGTTTTCTTCATGTCTGAAACTTATGTTCTCCCTTCATAGTCAGTTCACCTATCAGCACTTTTCCATCTAATGAAGAATAAAGTGTTTGAGCCCTTCTGTTTTCTTGAACTAATCATAACAAACAATGTCTTATTAAATGTGTTGGACAACTATGTTATGCCTCAAATGGAATATCATGCAGTGGTAGCTTGTGACCGTCCAAACACATAGGGCAAGGACATACAAAAATCAATGGCTGCCCCCACTCCCCTTACTTGTGTTAAAAGATTATACAATTAGTGTGTTCATTTAAATGTTCATATTTTAAGTTCACAACAATAAAAGCAGAGACTTTCTTTTATTACACACAACCAACAGCCCTTTTTTTCAAACCACTGTGTTCAAAACATTCTTGATTTTTTGCCATCTTGTTGGATTTTTTCTGATGTCATCCATGAAAATGGGTGTTTCCAATAAACTTTTAGCTTTATTTATAAATATTCATAGGCATATATCTGTATTATTAATTTTACGGTTCTGTGTTCTTTTTGTGTTTATTGCTGAACATTCCCTCCCATGTCATGATTTTGTTTGTAGGGTTAATGATATGGGCATGGTTTAACAGGACTCACTGTAATAGTTATGTTTATTAAAGTTTAGCTTTAATAAATATGCTGAAAAAATGCATGGTATCACATACCTATGTACTTAGATATGGAGTTAGCCAGGGTTGCTTACTGAGATGTATTAATTGTCATTTGTAGTTTTGCAAGAGGTTCCGAGCAGGAGTGAGATGCTGTGAATTTGAGTGCCTGGATGAACCAAATCCCACGGATGGATTCTTAGGAGATTCACCTATGAATAGAGCATTCATTGTTGCTCCCAGTCCAACCCTTTCAGTACTACTACTGCTAGGATCTGGGATTCTTTGGAAACCATAGTGAGGTTCAAATGAGGTTGCAAGGTAAGACAGGTCCTATCATGAAGGTGTTGCTGTGGGTTCTGGTGTATGTCTTCCTATAGTATTTGAATAATACAAAAGTTTTTATTTTCAATGTTTAATAGTGTTAGAATTTTATGAATGTAAACTAATGCACAGCAGCAAAAAAGCTCTGGATTTTTCCTCTCTAGTAAGAAAGCCTGTTGGAATACTAAAGTAGTGTTCAATAAAACTTTAATAGCGTGCTTGATGTTGATTAAATCATTTTGAAATTTTAATGCTTCTTGGTAGAGGCATCATGTGGGCATGGGGTGTGTTGCTGATGTTTGACAGGAACATACTGCCTCAATCATAAGGGCATAATGTTCCTCTGAATACAACTAGCTTCAACACAATGTCAGCATCCAAAACCAATATTATCATTGACAGTCAATTACTGTGAAAGCTTAAAATGAGTTAAATAATTTCTTGTTAAACTATATAGCATTTTGTATAGACTTTAAAAATGTAAGTATTTATCCTAAGTTTCCCCCCCACCCAAGTATCCACGAGCCCTAAATAAACACGTGGGATTTGAAATTATATAATTGTACGAAAATACTAGTAATGATATAGAATTTGCAAGGCTACACTGTTATGTGGATTATTCACTTATTCTTCCACTTCCATGCACTAAGACTAAGACCAAGACCATGCCATTAGCTGTGCTAATGTATCATTCTGTTGGTTTACTAGGTTGCACTGACATATCAGGGTGTGATGAAAGATATGTAACTCTTGCTGCTATGCCTGGATTCAGCAATGAATCTTTTGTGAGAAGCCACTTTTTTCTACTTCCTTAATTCCAGCTAGCACCAAGTACCACCAGTCAACAACTCAGATAGCTTGACAATACTACACATTGTGGGTCACATAATAAGGCTTTGTTGACATTATTATATTGGCCCAAACCTCTGTGAGGAATGTTTGTTGACCTATTTCTATGAAATATTCTGCAATGTTGCACTTGAAGCTATTTTTTGCTGAACTTATGTATACTGAAGTGAAATGTGTGTTTTAGAGAGTGACAGCCTGGCTTGTAATTTAATTTTAGGATACTTGTATTCTGGAAATTATAGGTTATGTAACAACAGTCATGGATTAAGTGATAGTAAGAGTTCTTCAGCTTGTCTATAATATTTGCTATCAAGTACAAATAAACTTCTTTTCTTATCACAAATCCATTGCCCTTACTTATTAAACTAAATTAAAGGTGACTTGAATTCAGTACAGAAGATACAGTAGGTGAAATTTCAGGTTCTTGTGGCAGTAAATATGAAGATGACTGACTTCTGGAATGTTATGCCATGTAGTCTGGTGGAAGTTTACAGGTATTTCAGAGGTGTTTGCTGCAGTCTTCTTCAGAAAAAAGATAGCAATTTACATTATAGCCAGATGTTTTTATGGTTATTGATCCATGGTATTGAAGTATAATAAATAAAGTGAGCAGCACTTGTCTCAGAACATACATGAGTAGTCTTCTAACTTAGATGATATTTAAGTGAAATGCTTGAAAATTAATGCTAATTATTGCATTCTACAGGATGTCCAGTTATTGACTGGGATTTTACATGGCTACAGTTTATTAACCCATAGAGGCACTGAACAACAGTAAATGCAGAAAATAAGCTTATCTCAAAAAATTCCTGTTACAAAATTGTTGCATCTGCTGCCATTAGTGACACAGTAAGAGTGCAGTTGATATTTAATATCAGTTTACACTTGGCTTAAAAATGTCTAGTGTAACAATACGAACAGCTGCAGTGATCCAGTGTTTGAGGTCTGTTAAGTTGTCTTTCTTCCCAATAGACCCATATGCAAACACCCTTCATATAATGCCAAAGGAAGAAATTGAGAGGTGTAGATCACACACTCCACTTTTACTTGTGGAATATCCATTATACTGAGGATGTGTGCATAAGAACAGGATGCCAGTTTGCTAACTTAAACACTTTTGAGTTGTGCATAATTTTTGTTTAATGCTGTTTGTTATCCTTACTGGTTACGGAAATGTAAAGCTGTCCCACTATATACCATTTAGGCATAACTCATACTCATTCTTAACCTTGGCACTAGATGGGTTTGAGTGGTCAGCGTCATGTCCTGTCTGCACTTTATGCTGGTTACTGAAGTTTAGCCTTGTAAAATCTTATGGTCACTAAATTAACATTATGTATTCGAGAGATACAGTATTTGACATTAACAAGTATTTCTGTTTCTGAAGCTAAATGTATTTGAATAATACACTATTACATGTCATGCATATAAAAGCTTTGTTACCAGGTTTTTGCCAGTTATCTGTCATTATTAATAGCCAGGCTGAGCATTCATTGAGGTATGGTAAAGATGAACATGTATTTTTTGGATTTTGTAGGATATAGTAGTTTATAGCACAATAAACTACAGTAGACCACTCACATTTCACAATGGATAAATTATCCCACTAATTTGTTGAAGAAGAAAGTTTTTTTTGGTGTATTAAAATTACCATCAGTCACATTTACCAGTATTTCTGTGCATTTATACCTGGAAATAAGAATGTCCTTATTCTATTAGATAGGCAGTATAGCATGTTACATTTTCTTGCCATCTCTTCAGTGATCTTATTTAATGGCTTGTAATCTGCAGTTCCTTTTGTAAGTTTTATTTTTTATGTCAGTAATGTATTTTCATTTGCTTTTATAATAATCCAGGCTTTATTACAATATATAAACACAGGTCTTGCCTAAATTTTGTATATGTTGAGTCTAGTATGTTTTTGCACTAATAAATATTTGAATACCTGTTTCATTTCTTTGTTTGTATAAATAAAACCTTAGTATATAAAGCATAATTTATGAACATTATTCTGAACCAAGATATTTTACTTATGCTGTACATGTTTATACTCCAAGCAAAATTGTCAGTTAGCACATTAATTAAGATATAAATATATACATATTTTGTTTTAATTACAGAATTCTCTGACATAATGGTATAATAGTGTAGTGGTTAGTATACATGTAATCAGTCATGTGATATTATATACATGTTCTCTGCACTTGAGTTGGAAGGTTGGTGTACATCCTCCATTATAGTTGTGTGATTTGCAGTTGTAAATTCATATAAGGATCTTGGCTATAATATACTTGACATATACAGACTTGTACAATATTAATTTGTATTATATGTTATTCTTGATCTTCAACACTGTTTCAGTTAGAAATAACTGTTGTACTGCTTGGTAGAATATATTTATGAAGTTACTATAATAAAATTTTTAAAAATTCTCATTTTTTTATATGAGGCACAGATGAATACAAATGTCAGGGCATTGAGAGTCTGTGACTTTGAGTAATGTTTTTGTTACATGACTGTTATTCATATGTTTTTAAAACTGTTATCGCATCTCATTCAGTTCTTTGCATTTATAATCTTGTAACTGTTTCTGTTTTCTCATTTTACACTGTACTGATTGTTATTTATTCTAAACTATGCAAATGTCTTATTCAGGTATCCTTAATCATAATGTTACCAGATATAATGGTAAACATTCTCATTTATTTTGCTGGGGGGTAATAATAATGAAATATTGTGAAATTGACTTGTTTATAGCAGTGAATGCTATATTAACATTGTTAGAACATTTCTCTCAATGTAATTTTTAAGATACTAATATGCATGATATGTATGAACATTTTGACAGTTTTGTCGACCATATGTACATACGTAAATTGCTGTTTACTATTACAGAGAATGAAACAAAGGAATGTAGTACTCAGTCTCTTGCTAAAAGAAAAAAATTGTAAGATTAAAACTTGTTCATGTAATGGTAGGAAATCTACCTATACTTATTCAAATATTTTAGTCAAGTTTCTAGTATTGGTAGTACATTTGGAACAAATTTCAGTATTCTATCTTGTATGAATTTTGGCATGCATTTTTATATCACAGTTTACATCAATGTTCTTCCTGATTGTTTCATATGTGGTCCAGAAAGAAGCAAAAAACAAAATGCCTTGTGGGAAAATTGTTAATTGATTTTCAGTAATTCACCTGAAAATGTGAAGTTCATTTTAAAGAGAATGGTGTACCATTTTTCTAGGAAGTTTACATGATAAAAAGAGTTTCCTGGGTTATTAGGTCTGGTGCATATTTTGTACCATCCTCTATTTTGATATTATACCAACCAGAGTTTATTGCTTTGCCCAACATCGCAACATAAAATTAATGAGGGTATCTCATTCACTATGCAACTTTCATATCCTTTTACTCTTAACATATCTATCATATACACATATAATACTAATATATTTCTCTCATGTACCTTTTACATTATATACATTTCAATTTGTTATAAATTTGTGTATTGGGGTTTCATTTGATGATGTAACTGTCTTGTACAGCAGAACACCAGTTCTGGGTTACTTTTGATGGATTCATTGAATTGTGACAAATGAAAGCTAGGTGACTTTGATATTGAAGTGACAATATATCTGATGACTGATACTGAAATTACTGTTTCGTGACTCATTGAGTGTCTTTTTGAATTTGACAGTGATAATGGGAAGTGAAGAGATTTAATATTTTTGAAAATACTGGATTGCAAAAGGTAGACAAGGATGCTGACAGATGAATGTAAATTTTGGTATGAATATGTGTAGTTAGGTATGTCAGTTGTATGGAATAAATATGTTGTTCAGATGGTATTATTTTAGATTTATGTTCAGAATAGTATCGTGAAATAATGACATTGACATTTTGAAGTTACATATTTGAATCATAAGAGTAATTTCAGATGACCTATATAATGAATATCTTCTATTGTGTACATCACGGAAAATTTTATATATACTTATATTACATCACTAAAATTTTTAATAATCAGTGTTGATTTCGCAATTAATCTGATCATCACATTTTACCAAATAATAATAA